GCGCTCGAGGCGTGGCGGCGCGACGGCGCTCGGACCTTTGCAATGCCGTCCACCGGCGAGCCTTGCCAGGTGCCGAGGGAGGGAGTGCGCGGCTCACCAGCTCACCACGCTCCTCCGCCACGAATGCATCCGACCTTGGACCTCCGCCCTCCTACGCCTACCGCTCTCCAGCCGCCGCTCTCCAGCCGCGTGCACGCCCTCCCCCTCTCTCCCCCCACGCCTCTCCACGCCCGCCGGCAGGTGCCCTGGTCCTTTGTGGAGCAGACCCGGGCCGAGGCGGGCACGCCCGCGGTGAGCACGGAGGCCGTTGTGCTGCACGGCCGTCGCGACGAGGTGGTGCCGCCCTCGCTGAGCGAGGCCTTTGTACACGCCAGCCCTCTGGCCAGGCTCGTCCTTCTCGAGGACGACCACGCGCTCACGGCGCCGCCGAGCCTGGAGCGGATCGCGCGGGAGGCGCTGGCGGCGTGTGGCGGCGAGGGAGGCTCGCCGCGAGTTGGAGGCCCGCCGCGCGCTTGGGACTAGTGGATGATCGCAAATTGGAGGTAGACGAGTAAGAACGTGCCGCGCAGAGCGTCTCGGTTCGTCGTCCCGCGCGGGGCCGGCCCGTGGGGCTCCAGAAGGGCCGGAATCCTCGCCGCTGGTGGCGTGTCGCAGTCTCGGCACACCCGTGATGTGCTCTGTGATGTATGACTTCTAGCTGGGAACGGTCTAGCTGGAGCGTGCGCGGGCCGCGGCCCCGCGGGGACACCAGCGCGTTATGGGTGGACGCGAGAGAGAGAGAATTCTTGATACGAAACCACGACGACACACACCAGTCGACTCGCATCGGTTGCCTCCATGAACGGCGGAGCTATTCTCGCGCCCACACCACACCTGGCTCCAACGTGGACACGCCCATAGCTGGGGACACTACTAGGTCACGCATGGCATCACAGAAGTTTTATCTCTGGGCCCCGAAAAGGCATCTCTAGCAGCGTCGTTACGCATGCCCCCTCCCCTCCTGGGCGCATGCGCCTCACGTCTCGCCAGAGCATACGCCCTTGGTGTGTGGCGAGACGAGTTTTTCGCCATGCAGCGAGCAGCAAGCCACCCGCCGCAAACAGCCGGAGGCCTCTCTCTCTCTCTCGGGTGGACGCTAGACAGGAGGTGAAGAACATACAATCCCCCACCCACACTTTCCCAAAATCCTCTTCATCGTTGTAGGCAGACACGCCGTTGTTGGTCCTCCTCTTGGTCCTCTCACTCCTCAATGGAGGCGCCTGCCCTCCCACGGCCGACCGCGGCCTATTTGCGGCAGAAGAGGGAGGAGCACCGCGGAGCGGCGCCGCAGCAGGCGGTGATGCAACGCAATGGCTACGACCCGAACCCGGAGCCGATCAAAAAGTTCGGCGACCTCCACCTCGACGAACTAGACGACGAGAAATTCCTCGCCAACGGCAAGGACGCCGGCTGGTGGAACGATCTCATCTCGTACCCACGCGACCTCTGCTACGCCTTTTGCTACCCGTGCCCCATGTGCTGCCCGACGCGCAACCTCGCCTGCTCTCTCGCCTTCAATATGTGCTGCGGCGTTCAGGCCTGCAGCGACGTCGGGTGGAGGTTCATGTGGCATCCGGAGTTCTGCCCGCTCGGATGCTGCACGCCCTGCCTCCCCTGCACTGGCCTCGGGGAGAACGGCGATCAGGGTGTCTGCGACGTGGCTTGCATCTGCTGCAATGTGAGCCCGATGGCACGCCAACAGAGCTTCACATACTGGCTCCAGCGGGGTGCGTCCGCTGGCTCGGAGGATTCGGCGGCAGGGTGCTGCGCCAAGTTCTTCCGGCCAAAGCCGGTCCCATATCCGTGGCCGCACCTTCCACCAGACAGGTGGCCGCCTCAGTACTCGGAGTCGTCGCCCTGCTCCATGCAGCTCTTTAGCTGCTGTTGCCAGCTCTTCCCGCTCCCCTTTGGAGACAAGTACGACAATGTCGCTCAGTGGCAGCCCCCGTACGGCGGAGGCTTCCCGTGCAGCTGCGCCAAAGAGTACGATCCGAACGGCCTCGCTTCGACTGCGGAGGTGCGCCGGCCGGGCGGCAGCCACACCGCTCCGAGCTGTCACCCTTGGCTCACCATCCTCTGTTGCCAGTCGCTTGGGCGTGGACAGGGGTCCGATCTTGGAACTAAGGTTGCCTACTGCTAACTACTACCGCGTGCTCCCCCTCCCCCACAGGCGCTCGCAGACGTTGCAACCTCGATCCCATGCCTGTTTCGCTGCTGCGTCACGTACCAGCAGGGCTGCTGCGGCCTCTTCGGCGGCCGCACCGGCTTCGCGCCCAATACCACGTACATGCCGGCGAACATGGCGGTCGGGGAGTCGGACCAGCAGATGAACGACGCCCGGGACTGCGGAGGCTACTGGGCGTTCCCAAAGTCCTTCACGAACTGCAACGGCGAGACCGTCTGCGGCAAGCTGCCGACGCCGCCAAACACGCGCTTCAAGGACAAGGACGGCAACGAGTTCGCGCCGAACACCAACGTCGCGCCGGGAGCGCCGGGTTCCAAGGTGATCTTCTGGGCGCACGGCTCCGCCTGGTTCGCCGGCCAGTCGGCCGACTTCCTCTACTTTTTCGGGCTGTTCCTGTCGGAGCAGACCGGCCAGACCGTCCTCATCGGCGAGTACCCGCTCGCCTCCGAGCCTCGCTTCTGCAGCAAGCAGGGCGGCTTCTTCTTTGCCGAGGCACAGCCCTCGCCGCACTCGACACCCCCCACCCTCGCCGCGGCGTTGGACCATGCGCACAGTAATTGATGCCCGACC